AGTGGCAGAATTTGAATTGGATGAGATTAAGCAACGATCACATCATGAGAGAAAAGCACTGGGTTTTTTTTTTTTTTTTAAATAATAAATTTTATTTTTATATTCCCCCATACAATTGCAAAAGCCCCATTCTGACCCCAATCCTTCCCTTCCCGCCCCCCACCCCCCAAAAAGTGTCTCTGGTTCATAGTTTTTTGTTGATTTTGATTTTCACTTTCTTATATTCATTTTCCTGGTCCCTTATTTAAGTTATTCCTAAGAACAGTTGAAAACAATTGAAGGGATTTTACTACGGGAGATAGTTTGATCTGGTTTAATTATTAAAGTATCACTGCTGTAGGGAAGGAGAGTTACCAACAATAGAATGGGCAGCTTAATTAGGTGATGCCATTGTAATAGTGCAGGCAGGTAGTCTCTTTAATTTTTTAACTTATCCCGTAATATATGTGTGTTTATCATTTACTATGTAGGTACTCTGGTGTACACACTGCATTTTGTACATTATAATATAAAAAGTTGCAAAAGAATAAAGGGAAGAATTCACAGATACAGATAATACTTTCTGGCCTACCCTAAAATATATTAGCATTCTGGGATCCATGTGTCCTGCCTTGAAAGACTAGTTTTAACAAGATCATGGAACATGCACAGTGGCAATGAGATAGTTTGAAGAGAAAAATCAAGAGTTTGCATTAACAGAACTTGGAAATTGGGTAAGTGGTAGTAATTAAAGAGAAGGAAGGGGTAAGGAGGGCCTTAGATTTCTGGTTTGTGGAACTGAATAGAGAGCACACTATAGAGAGTTAAGAAATGCTTTAGTAATAAGCTAATCATGTTTGTTAAAGTAGTGTTTCACCCAAATCTGGTGTTTTAAATGTGGGGAGGGGGTGGTCCAGATGTTGATCTGTCCTCAGGAAGAAGATGGAGAGAAAGGAGTATAGGATGGGTTATTCTGGCCTTCAAGTCTTAGTATGTGGCAGCATTGGTACATTATTGGCCCCTCAACTTCTGATCAACTCTTTAAGTTTCTTTAGCTAGAGGCAGAGTTCCACAGCTAAAAAATACATGACTTAACAAAGCAAATGCTGGAGAGGAGCATATTGAGGGTGTTTCCTTTCAAACCTAATACATGAGCAGTTTATCAGCTGTGAGCAGTCGTTTTTGTATTTGCTTAGAAAGAAATAAATGCATTTTTCATCTGCTAGGTGAGGATTAAAGAAATTAGCGACAGGGAAATCCAATCATATATATAATTTTGTCTCAGGAAAAAATGAGAGACATTCTATATAGTGGTGTTTTTTCCACATGTGGCTGTAGATGGCTTGATGCTCCATTTCCTGAGATGATACATGAAGATTTTCTTTTATTTAAAACCACATATATTTTAATATAAAATTTACCAGATGTAATTCTCTGTCTCCTAGCACAGTACCATGCAGTGTTTTCCCTCAGCTTTATTAAAGGGTGATTGACAAATAAAACTAAGATATTTAAAGTGTGCATTGTGATGATTTGATATGTGTGTACATTGTGAAAAAAGTTTGTGTATGCAGGAGAATACTGAAATTCCCTCAGCAAATTTCAGTCATACAATGCAGTGTTAGCAACTTTAATCATCATGTTTTATATTAGATTCTCAGACCTTATTCACCTTTAACTGGAAGTTTGTACACTTTGCCAACATCTCCCTATTTCTGCAGCATCCCCTCCAGCCTCTATTCTACTTTGCATAATTTTCTCAAGGTTCATCCATATTATCATGAATAGAAGAATATCCGCCTTTCTTATGGCTCAGTAATAGTCCATTGTATATACATACTGCATAGTTTTTATCCATTCATCCTTTAACATGTACTTAGATTGTTTACATGTCTTGACTATTGTGAATAATACTGCAGTGAACATGGGCGTGATGATTATTTCTTTCTATTTTCATTTCCATTAAGTAAACACCTAGAAATGTGACTGCTCGATCATGTGATGTTTCTATTTTTAATTTTTGGAGGAACTACCACACTCTTTGCCACGGTAGCTACACTACTTTGTATTCCCATTGTGACTCTTGGTTGGTTGTTTTTTAATGCAGGCAGACTTTCCATTGTACTACCTTCCTCCATTCTGTTCTAGATATTTGTAGAATAAACCAAAGCATATTTGCCCTCATTTCTTCTCAAAAATGTATATAGTAGAACTTTGTAGTTGTGAGGGTACTATCTGGGGGCCATATTAAGATGGTCAAAATGTGAACTAATATAGAAGCTGATCCTGTGCTCACCAAAGTGCAAGTCAAATTAAAAGCAATTTTTAGGTAAACATTATTTCATTTAATCCTTAGAAAAAATGCTGAGATGGATAATGTCCCATTGTAGATTGCCGTGGTACTAATTGCTGATAGTGGAAACCTCTTTGTTAAAAACATAAATGCTAAGGGTTTACTGTAGTAATTGTGTGTGTGTGTGTGTGTGTGTGTATATATATATATATAATTTTGATGTTGGTCAAAATGAAATAAAATAAAATAGCAATAAAATATATTAATATAGCAGTAAAATATATTAATGCTGATCGAATCTAATCAAGCTGTCATTTTCTGTTGCTAATATCTCACCCAAGACTTCAAGATTTCCCTGCTCATATAAAGCTCCTAGTGGTGAAGAATGTTATAGAATGTTAAGAGGTAGCGGGAAGCCTAGAGATTATCTCTAATGTATGGACTACATTAGAATTGCATGAATACCTTAACACTATTTTAAGGTCAGAATAGCTGACAGAGATGGTCATAGACCATAAATACTGCTTTTTTGATGCATCTTAACCTCCTCAATTCATGCTTTCCTTTAGAGCCCAGGCTGAAATAGGCTTTAAGCCCATTTTAATATGGCTAACTTAGAGAAATGTCTTCTCATAAGTAAAATATAAGATATAAGAGGATATTGATGCTAGTTCTAAAACTAATTATACTATAATTATCATCTAGCTAAACAGCAAATGTTTTCTCCTGTATTTCCCTCTCTCCCAACTAAGTGAAGAAAGTGTTAATAGCATCAATATTAAGGAGGAAGTGCTGTTTGCTTTATGCATATGATGGAATGAATAATTTAGTATCTTCGGGAAATGCAAACTGCAGTAGAATTCAAGCAACCTTATCAGAATTTAGATCAGTATTTTTATATGATAGCATGAAGTAGCAGTAGAAAGGAGATGCTTAAAGATACAAAAGTACAAGAATGTTGTATAGTATTTAAACTGTGAAAAGATTGGTAGTTTTTGGTTGAAAATGTTTTGTTTATGCAGTGGTGATGGTTTGCCTGCATTCTGACAATTGTCAGGTGACTTTTTGGAAATATGATTGGTAATGGAATGTGGCACTTTCTTTGCTGTCAGAGACAAGATAATTTCTTAGGTTTACCTTGTAAGTTTTTATATTTTTCTTACATTTTTCCCCTTTAAATATGGATTAAAGGAACAGAGGGTAAAACTTGAAGACTAGGCATGTTTACTTAATAAAGACTTTATGGAAGTAGTAATTTACAAGTATTGGTAAGACAGGTTTTTTAAAAGTTTAAGCTTAAAATGTTATTGAGAATTTCCTAAATTCCTTTGGAATGCTCTAATGCTGGGTAGACATTTTTAATGTATACCTGTGATCTTATGTCATTATTATAAAAATTGTGCATGCAACTTTAATGACAATAGATTGGGTGGTTGGAAGTACTTTGTAGAGGTGACATTATCAATCTTATTAATTTTGTTTGTTTGAAAATGTCCGCTGTATATAACGTCCTTAAAGCAAGATGAAAATTTAATTGGATTATATTAATCTGGTTTCTAAACCAAAAAATTCTCTTGATTACTTAAGATATCATTTTCAGATGTGCATTCTTTAAATATATATTGGTGTGGTTCTGATTCTATGAAAACTTTTAATTAACATAAATTGTATTATTTAAAGAATACAGTTTTAGGGAAAATCTAGAATACTGTCTTGTTTGCTTTTATGTAGTGTTTTTAAAGTCAGTATATATTTAACCTGTTCACTGTTTCTTGGTTAATACCATTGGAAAAAAATTTTTTCCCATACTGAAAAGAATTTCTTTAGGGTTTTATAGAAAATGATTGATGTGAAGTTTTAAATGTCACTAATGTAATAGTAGGAAATTTAATTTTGTTTCTCCAATCCCAATTTTGAGTGTTACCTTGATTTTTGATAAGCCCTTCTCCTTTCCGTAAGTTATTTCTTTATTGAACTTTTTCTCTTAAAGAGAATTAATTTTATTAATACTTAAGGTAAATTTTAATGTAGATAACCTAAGTATCAAATGGCTATTTAATGTGGTCACACATTTTTCATAATATCTTTTGTCAAAAATGTATACATTTATACTTATGGAGAAAAAGGAACAATAAATATGGCATAATAAAATAATGAACAGTTTTGATGTTTTTCAAAGTTGTAAAAGCAAATAAAGATACTTTGTATCAATGAATATGAAATACTTTAATTGCTATAAGCTGTTTAAAATGGCTTTGGTGTTTTTCAGCTAGTAGAGGAGTTCTTCTGTTGTTTAATCTTCAGCATTTCCCCTAAAGTTTTTTAGCTGCAAATTCTCCTATATGAGCACTGCTATAATAAGGTAGATACCATGAAATTAACCAATGATCATGGATCTTGACTTCCTTTACATTTTTTAAAATACTGTAAAATGTGAATTGATTGCACTCTCTGATTGGATAATTCAAAAAATAATCTACAAGTGCATCATTTGATCTATGGCTTATCATAGGGTTTTTCCATAAATAAGATTACACATAAAATTTTTTAAGCTTATGTTAAAGAGGATACGTTTTTATTAAATTACAGAGCTTCCAGAATGAGGATCTAGATAGGACGTATGTATAAATACATTTTGAACCTTTCAAAGCACCTTTTAGTTTATGTGAAGTTCTTCAGATGGCCCCGTTGTCCTTTGAAGCTTCTAACACCAAGGTGTCTGTTGCAGCCCAGAGCAAGGTTACTGCTACCCAGGACAGCACTAATTTGCGATGTATTTTCTGTGGTAAGCAACATTATGTTTACATTATTTTTTCAAGCTGTGGTACATACTACTTGCACATTTCCATAACTTTTGTTTCTTTAGGCCATAGTTTGGTTTGTGGTATTTGGGATATATAGAGCAAGCTACTGTTTTATGTTGTGATATTTGTTGTGGTTCATGTAGGTGATTTGGTCAGCTTTTGAGTTGGTATTGTAGTGAGAATTTAGCTAGAACTAGGATCTTAAAACTAATTCTTGTTCACTTCTTCCAACACAAGTGAAAGGGGTTTTTGTTTGTTTGTTTGTTTTTGTTTTCAACTATTTTGTTCGAGAGCAGTCTTTTGCTTTAGAATTTAAGGGGAAAAATTATGTCCATCTTATTGTGATTTGGGGAATGTAAATGTGCCTTATTGGAAGAGAACTTTTGCTTAACTTGAATTAATATTTAGGTGCACATATTGTGAGGCAAATGTAACCTATTACTTTAATAGGTTGATATCTGATTGTCAGCCTCCTTTATTCTGTGGGCTAGGTATCTGTGGCTCAGGAGTAAATTTAGATATACAGAGTGTTTTCTTTTACTCATATATACATACACATGTATGCACATATATGTATTATTTGCACAAACCAGATGTCTCACTTAACCATCCCAAATTGCAGTTAATGAGATGTATACATATCCTTATCCTTACACAAGGATATTGTAGTATATGTACACAAACATACTCACCCTTGTCTGAATATTTCTTACTTGCATTTGATTCTAAAACTTTGTTTTGAAAACCCACGTTCAAAAAGTAACTTAATTCTTAGAGCTTTTTTTTTTTTTTTCTTTTTGACTCATATATACCCTTTTTGACTCCTGTCTACCTTGACTGGCCAGATTATTTTATGAGAAATAAAATTATAAAATGATATGCTGCTAAAATTTTATTTAAACAATTCAGCTGTGTATATGTACTTTATTCATGTGACTCAGAGTTTTGGATGTCATTTCAGTACTACTGATATTGTTTCCTTGCCTATAAAGAGAATTAAAATGTATCTATTTACTGGTTTAGGCAAAGAATCATGTGTTACAAATTTCCCAAAATTGAAAATTTTAATCTATTTCTTAATCACCTGAAATTATATTTTATAATTGCTCCAGGTGACATAAATCAGTGAGCCCATTGTGTGGCTCTTTGTAACCACTCCCCTTTCCAGATTCCATAATTAATTATTGCAGGTTAAGTGTTTCATCAATTACTTTTATTTCTGACTTTTTCTGCCTCCTCCTGGGGGTTCTTCTAAGGTCATCTTTTGAAATAGCCATGAATGATTATTCATATTTGTGTTATTAGGACTCTTGTTCATTCTGAAAACCTAATTGATATTCTGTACTTGCTGCTTAATATGTTGAATTCCACATGCAGAATAGTAGATAGTTTACAATTGCAGAGAAAAGAGTATAATAAAGGTGGATTTCTGAAGTCATAAAATAATGTTTTTTAAAGCAGATCCCCTGCTCTGCCCCATAATTGATTTAACCTGTGTATAGGCAATACGATTACCACATGGCTAAGTTTAAATTTGATTGTATTGTGTATAATAACACCGAGTTGTCTTTTTAGTTCTGTGTTTTTAAATAGTCTGTGACTAAGTGTGATAATAGTTTTGTGAAAATTAAAATGTGACAGTAAATGAAATAATGTTAGCCAAAACTCAATATTGAAGTCATGAATGAAATACCACATTCATTCCTGGTTTGGAAAGAGAATCTATTCTGATTTCCATAATTTGAATGATACCATATCAGTGATATGGACACAATTTCTTAATTAAAAATTCCCGTATTTTGTTATGTGAATTCTAGCCAGGACAAATTAAGATCAACTATTGTCTTTGGCTATAGTAAAACTCACCTTCAAATAGCTACTGTTCTTTATGATAACACAGTAAGAAAAAAGCAGGTTCACTTCTTCTCTTTTTTTTTTCCCAAAAGAGAATTGTTGACTATCACATGACGTTCATAAAATATTATTTACCCGCTGGTAACAAAAGTACCTTCTTCAGATTCTCTGAGAACACAGATAAACATTCAGATTTATGACCTATGTGAAATAAGTATAGTTATATTCCAGAAAATACAATGGCAGCTGACAGCCTTGCCTAATCTTAGTTGCTGCTTTATGTTGTGTGTGGTGCCTTGGTATAATTTACCAATCATATAACCCAGGAGAATATTTGACAAGAAGGAAAAATGTAATTGTGTAGCTGAAGTTTATAATTTATTTAGAATTCTCTCATTTAATGCTTATAGTATACTTATATTATTTTTTAAATGCACATGAATTTCAGTGTGCCTTGTTATTGTGACTTGACAATATTGAAGAAACAAACAACCAGTTTAAATATAGATGTGAAAAAATGCCAAGGGGAAGGCTTCTCTTCTGCTGCCCCCCCCCCTTTTAAAGAATATGCGTGGAAAGACAACCCACGATCACAAAAAAACGTGCAGAAAAGAGTATTAAGAATTGTTCTTGGATCAAAATTCCAACCCCCATTTTGAAAGGATCTTCCTTGAAGTTTTTTTTTTTTTTTTTTGCTCTCAGCTTCATGAATAAACTGTAATTATTTTTATAATTAATGATATGAGCTAGAAAATATTACCCATATTTAGAGCCTCCTTATAAAACAATTTGCTGAGTAAGCTATAACTTAAAAAAATTCAAAAGTTTCTGTAAATGGCTAAAAGCTATTTTTTCATTTACTTTTTTGTGAGTTATTTTAAATTTTTATTAATGTTTCCCCCCAAAAAAACTGGTTTAGTACAAGCAATAGTCTTGAGTTGAAATTTTTACATCTTTTTCATTGATTTATATATTTGAATTAAAGCTTAACATTGAAAGTTTAACTGGTGAACTAACCCTCTTAATATTGTCATTGAGATATAATGCTGCCCTCAATGTGAGAAATACAATGTATTCTTCTTTGAGAAGATACCAAACAAGTCTAACCTATTCTGACATCCAGCTGTTTGTTTAAGCAGCATGAATTTTCTTTTAAATCCACAAACATTATTTAAAAAAATAGTTAAGTCGTAATCATCTTATAAGTTGCCCATGCTAAATGCTCATATTTAGTATTTTTTGAAAGATTAGGAACTTCGGTATATAAAATACTTCCTCTAAATAGTTTGTTTTCTCAAGTGTACCTTCCCACCTTGTATGTCCCCTTCCTTCTCCCAGAGGAGACATGACATCTTTTCCTGTAAAGTATTAAACATTAGTATATGACTTAATATGGCAGTATATCTTGACATCATTATGTTAATTTTCAAAGGAGGGAAAGAATTGCAGTTTGTTTACTAAACAAATTATGTACTTTCATTTATGCAAACTTCTAAGTGCATATTTAATTATAACTTAAAAAGCTTCTTGGGTTTTTTGTTGTTGTTGCTGATTATGTGGGATTAATATATTTTTATATTTTCTTTATGTGGTTCCCAAAATAACAGACTTTTAGGAAATCTAATGAAATATATCACTGCAATTGTCATCTAATTTGTCTTTAGAGGACAAATTAAATGATAAATCTAAAAACGTGTAAAGAGATGAAAAAATTAGTAGGTAAGTTTGAATCAAATTGTTTTTTATACACTTGGGATATTACATTCTAATGAAACTTATCCTTCTAGTTGTGAGAGCTACTCCACTAGTATAAAATGGATACTGTGTGCTCTTAACCTTCAGCAGTCCAGAATTTGCTTTAGTACACAGGAGCATTGCTTTGTCAACTGTGTCTTTTACTAGTGGTCTATAAAGCATTTTAAAAATATCTGCTAGCGGAATTTCTGGCACACTAGAATTCACAAATATGTATAGCATAGCATTACTCACATACTTCTCTCCAAGAGTGGAAGATTACTATTTATATTTATTCTCTTGTTTTCAGAATTAGATTTCAAGATTGTTCTCTTTTAACCCTAACCATTGTATATTAGGTCCAGTGTTTATCTCATTTTATGACACATTTAATTTTTATATCCAGTGACATTAAAATGTCCTGTAATCAACTGGTATTTTTTATAACATGCAAAAAAAGAGTGCTGCTTTGTACATGATATGGGAATGGATGGTCATTAGTTTTTCATGATAGAACCATGTTGGATTGAATGTTTTGTTTTTTTTTTTTTGTTTTGTTTTGTTTTGTTTTAAGCCCAAATGAAAAATTATTAAGATTATCTCTGCTACATTAAAAATTCAAATAAGTTATTAATTATATATGGAAGTTTAGCAAATGTTTGTTTTCATCAATGCTGGAAATACCAGACCATTAAAGATGGCAGCTTAAATTGGACAAATTTGATAAATGCGTTAGCATACTTCACTCTAGTACTAAGGTTCTCATGCTCTTTCTCTCCTGTTTTTCATTTCCAGTGTTCTATTTAGGTGAGTTTTTGAATTCTGACTTTTCATTTAAGTTCTCCCTCTCCACTTCATGAATAAATACTTCAAAGAGAATGTCTCATTGTCTTAGAAAATGTCAGACTTAGGTGCCTATTCAGATGCTCATTGAACATGTTTTACTCAAGCTCTTCATATATAAATGTTTATTTTTATTTTATTGTTGATGTTTTCCATTTGTTTCAAGTAAGCCTTCTGAAGATGATGACAGTATTATGTTGCAGTCTTTCATTTGCTCTGTTATGTGAAGCTTAAATTTTATTTTGCTAAACTAAAAGAAGATACATTTGTAAATATGTGATGGTTTTATGTTATTCTTGTGAATTTTATCTCCTTTATCCAACTAAGTATAAAGATAATGTTCATCTATAATGTTTTTTTTTTTCCTTTTTAGGGCCAACATTGCCTAGACAGAATTCGCAACTACCTGCCCAAGTTCAAAATGGCCCATCACAAGAAGAATTGGAAATTCAAAGAAGGTAGGTTCACAAATTATTGTTTGCGCGTTTGTTACCGGAATACAATACTGGCCAGTCTCAGTTCCCTTCGCCAGTGAAGGGAAAGAGTTTGAAGAGAAGAAAAGTAGTTTAACTTGTTGACGAATTGAGGAGGGCAGCAGACTCCTGTCTGAAAGACCACCGTCCTGCTCTGTGGCAGAGGGCAAGGACATTTATCCAGAGGTGCAGGAGAGTGGAAGGGGGAGAGGGCAAGTGCCAGCAGGTCCATCCTTGCAACACCAGTGCCTGGAGGGTTTGGTAGACGCCAGCTTGCTTTTGCTTTCACCTGGTGGTCAGCAAGGTCGATGTTATCTTCCTAGTGATGTTTTTTTCCCTTGAAATGTAAGAAAACAACATTTGTTAAGCCTAGAAGGTAAATAAAGGAAATGGGAAAACTTACCTGGTGGAACAGAGAGACAAGTCCTTTGATGCTGTATCACTTCTGGCACAGAATTCAGTAAATTACATGAGATACTCAATACTTTATTATAAAATAGGCTTTGTGTTAGATGATTTTGCTGAACTGTAGGCTAATTTAATTGTTCTGAGCATGTTTAAAGTAGACTAGAGGGCCTCCCCTGGTGGCGCAGCTGTTGAGCGCTGGGCTGCAAAGCTGCCCAGAGCCTCTGCAGCGCCAGTTCTATCCCCAGCCGCTGGCGAGGGTCCCATCTGGTGCGGAGACCTCTCCTGCCGCGCCCACTGCTTCCCTCAGCAGTGTATTTCGTCAGTCTGCCTGCTCTGTTCCCTGCTCTGGCTCTGGTGAATTCTCTCACCCTCCCGTGCGTGCTTCTGACTGTATCCAGTGCTTGTGTAAATAAATAAATAAACCTTTAAAAAAAAAGTAGACTAGAGGAAGCTATAATGTTTGCTATTCAGGGTATTTTCTTTTTATGATGAGTTTACCAGGATGTAACCCTGTTCCAAGTCAAGGAAGATCTGTATTTTAAATACACTTAACAACATACAGAGTGTCTTTCTACTTCAAAGAGTATTATTTTTATTGCAGTTATAAATTAATTTGTGATCGTTATGCCTTTTACATGACTGATTTAACTAGAAAGTTGCAATAGTGTTCACTATATAAGTATTGATTTTGAGATACACAGGGTGTAGTAATGGAGTATGAAGTCATTCTGTTTACGAATAAACTGTTACTTAAAAGCCATTAGTAACGCTATCTTCATTATTTCAGTGCAGTTTACAATTGAAATTATAAAACATTCTCATTTAAGGGCAAAGTTTTTTTTTTTTTTAATCACTGGTAGGTCACCTCTGTTTGCTTAACAGTTGATAACCTTTGTACAGGTTGATTTTTCAAATTGAGATGCATTTGCTCCATGGCATGCAAGCATTTGTTCTTATCTTTGATTTGGATCTCATGTTTGAGATACTTTTTCTCTATGTAGTCTTAATATATGTGTCCTGTTCTGCTAACAAAGGGATCTCTTGCTGTGGTTCAGTGTCAGCTGCTTTGATATATGACTACTTAATTCTTGAAGAAGATCCTGAGGGTCTCCCAAAATGAACTTTGTTTTTGCCATAGCTTATATATTCAGTTAAATCACTCTGGAAAAAGCCTGCATGTTTGGTGAAAAGCTATCCAGCTGTCTTGAGTGGTGCTGTAACTGATAGAAATAAAATTAACTTTATGAAGAATAAGGAAAGTGTAAAAGAGATTATAATTGCAGCTCTATATTGAGAGTTTTAAACATACAAGAATAATTCCAAGACTTGTAATTTATAATTGCACTATTGTTACACAGACAATAATACAGAAAAGTAATTAATAAAAAATTATCGCTCTATTATTGAGAATATGACAGTTGTACTGAGCTAGGAAGAGCTAAGAGAGAGCCCAAAACACTACTAGATTATTTCTGGTAATGTAGAGTGGGCAAGCAAGTAATCCCAGGGGTAGTTGCTGCAGGCCTGACAGAAAGGAATGGAAACAGAAACCATTTAAGGATACTGCTGGCTTGATAAGGGTCTTGGGTGGGTGATCCACTACACAGGGGGTTCTCAAGAACGTACAGTTTGCATTTTTATTTGGTGATGGATATTGAGTGATTTTTTAGTAATTGGTTTAAAAGCTTTATGCCTCGTGTGTATTTCTTCTATTAAAGTATAAGCCCTAGTAATGCTCATCTGGGCTTGAGGTTTTTCTGTTTGTATGTTAAGTAGATACATCAAAAAGGTTTCTAAATTGGAGATTGTTGTTTATACTACTTACTTGCTTAGTTGAAGACTGACATTTTGAAGAAAGAAATCCAAATCTGAAAAAAAGATTAAATTTTAAAATTGCTTTCTGTCCACAGTCATGCTCTTGCACAGATGATGCTTTTGTTTTGTATAAACTTTCCACAAGAGATCAGTTTCTTTCTCTCTCAGTATTAATTTCAGCTCTGTTCCTTCTCTTTACTCTCCATTGATTTCCTTTTAAATCTCTTGAAATCTGCTTTGTGTCTCCACAGATCTATTGGACATATGGCTTTTAACATTGCCTTCCAGTTTAAATTTTTTTTCGGAGTTCACATATACCACTTCTCCTTTTGATACTCTAGAATCTCTGCTTATTGCTAAGTCTTCTCCCTTTCTATCCTTTTCTTAGATAATGTTTTGCACTTAACTGGCTTTTCTTCCTCTTCTGTTCACATTACCCTTCCAAAATGGGTGATTTAGTTGGTTATTGTTGTTTTCTCTTAATTCGTTTATGTTGATAGTTTTCACAATCCTCACCTACTGCTGTGGTTAGCAACTTGAGAACCAGAACCATAATTTCTTTCCAGCTAAATGGGGTAATGTTGTGATTCCTTCTGAGAGTTTGGTGAAAGCAGTATGTACTACTGCTCTCTTCCATCCAATCCCCAGCCGTGTGTGTGTGTGTGTGTGTGTGTGTGTATGCGCGTGCATGCACATGCATGTGGGCACACGCACAAGCACTTACATCCAAAAACTGCATACCTTTTCAGAGGGGTCACACCCCCCCTTACATTTCAACAATGGATCCTCAATGAGAATTCTTCTAACACTTCAATTTTAGACCTGTATGATTTCATTCTTGAGGTGTATTGCATTTCTTCTTCTCATTAATATTTTTCCCACACTTTTAGCTTAGAAATTCAGTAGTTACCTCTTTTCACAATCTCTGTTCAAGTTTACCTTCTTTCTCTTGAAGTCCTTTGAATTCTCATTACTGATAGCTGTCTCTAGTACTTACTCTCTTACGTATCTCTGTAGTTTTCAATTGACTTTTCCACCTTTACCTTACACCCCTTTTCAGTTATTCCTACTTTACTACTGCCAGATTGATTTCTTTTAAACTCTTTTGAACCTGACAAAAAAAAAATCCCAAAGAACTAAAATAGGGGAAGGGTAATCTGCATGATTGCGTTCTTTCCTCATATAAATCCTCAGAATTAGTGACTTAGAATCATTAGTACTTTTGACAACTTCGTCCGTAATACTAAACAATTTGTTTATATTTCTGTTTATTGATTAATGAAGTTACAGATCGTTACTCTCACTTCTCCACTATGAAAAATGAAGAATTCTTAATGTCCCTTACTAAGTATTAGTAGTTAACATTTTTAGTTTGTTGTTTGGTTTCCTTTTTAAACAGATCTGTCTTTTCTTTAGAGAGTATCTTAACCATTCACTCTGTAAGAAGAGCGTGCATTTTCTGTGCACCTCTGTAACCCTTGTCTTCCACTTTACCACCTCATTTGGCAGACATTCCATTGTCCTGTTTTCAAGGTGTAACATCTGTAGTCTTTTTGTGATTGTCATAAACTTGTAGGTATTCTCTCCTCTCCCCCAACTGTCCTCTCCCCCCCATCCTACCTTTTTATTATCTATGGTAGTTATAGTTTTAACAAATTTATGACTAGATAAGGTTTTTTGTATCTAGTCATTAGCTTAGTCTTTAGTGGACCTTTTCCATGCGAAGACTTATCCGCAATTCTTCCCCTTTTTATTTATTTTTTAAACCAATTCCTTCTTTCTGTTTTCTCTTTTTGAAATTCCTATTGGTCAAATGCTGAACTTTTTGGGTAATTCCCTTATGACACTTACTTTTTCCCATCTATTCATATTTTTACCCAGATATTTAGATCAGCACTACCCATGAGAAATAAAAGCCAGTTATGAAATTAAATTTCTTCTAGTAGCCATATTAACAAAAGTGAAAAAAGAAACAGATGAAATTAATTTTAATGATAGATTTTATTTTAACCCACTATATCAAAAATCTTATTTCAGCATGAAATAAGTATAAATTTGTTAAGATATTTTGCATTTTTTTTCATACTGAATCTTCAAAATTTAGTGTGTATTTTAGGCTTACAGCACATTTTTGTTCAGGCTAGTCAAATTATTGGTACATGTAGCTCATGGCCACCTATCTGCATAGTATAGTAGCAGATCTTCTATTGAAAGTTTGGTTTTACAAGTGAGACATCAGGGGAAAAAATAATAACAATACACAACACAACACAACAAAACAAAAACAGTTATAAACCAGAGACATCCTGCAGGGGAGGAGGAAGGAGAGGGATCAGGGAGAGGGAGGGAGGAGCACACAGGACAGTGGTGATGGTGCACAGGTGCATTGGTGAAGGAAATTCTATGGTGACTATACCTGAGGGGGAAGTAAACATTGTTTAAAAATGAACAATAATGTAAAAAAAATGTATAAATAAAAAAATTTTAAAAAAAGAAAGAAGTAGTGAGAAAAAATAATAACAAAAAATATTGGCAGGCAACTATAAATCAGAGACATTCTGCTGGGGAGGAGGAGGGAGAGGGATCAGAACAGGGGAGGGAAGAGCACAAGGGACCGTGGCGGTGGTGCACAGGAGAACTGGTGGTGGAATTTTAGGGGGATCACACCTGAGAGGAGAAAGCAAACATTGTAGAAAAATGAACAATGATGTAAAATATATAGAAATAAATTTAAAGAAAAAATATTTTTCTGTGAAAAATGA